ACTATTATTGACTGAAAGGTAAATAGGCGGTGCTTCACTATTGTTGATTGACAGATAAGTAGGCCTCAAATAAATGCTGTTCTTTTTAACTTTCTATTCATCAAAGAATCATGAAAAATAAAATGTATCACGGTTTCCACAAAATATTTTCGTATGAAAACTGTTTTCAACATGGATAATGTTTCTTGAGCAGCAAATCAGCATATTAGAATGATTTCTGAAGATCATGTGACACTGAAGACTGGAGTAATTATGCTGAAAATTCAGCTTTGATCACAGGAACAAATTACATTTGAACAGATATTTACATAGGAAACAGCTATTTGAAATTGTAATAATATTTCACAATTTTCCTGTTATTATGCAGCCATGTATTCTGATCTTACTAGGTTTGGCTGGACTGGGGTTCAGCGCCACTCCCTCCAGCTTCAGCAGGTCTCCCACAACCCCTCTCTGTCCTCTCTCTAGGATGTGAGCGGCGTTGGCACCGATGCGGGGTCGAGGGGTGCAGCGGGCGCTGTAACACCCAGGATCTGGTGCTAACGGACCCTTCAGAAGAGGAGACGAGCCGTTCTGAGCGTTTCCCTCCAGCCGACCACGAGCTTCATCAAGACAACAGAGAGAGATGAGATGAAGCATCACACATGCAAAATGAAGTAAGCCTCATGGTTTCAATCTTACCAGAGGACGGGCGTTTGTAATATTCAGGAAACAGTGTGGGGTCTGGAGGAATGGGACCAGAGATCGCTGAGGGCCCTTCACACATACTGCTGCGATGCTGCTGCAGAGGAGTTTAGGACAAGTTTAATTCATCTAGTATATGAAAATATAAGCAGAGTAAATGCAGCCAACAAATAAAACTTAAAATCAAACTTGTTTCATAATGCATTTTGTACGAAAGATACTCTGCAAATGGGGTTAATATAATTTAATATTTAAAAAAAGTTTAAATAATGACTGTTTTATTTATAATTAGATTTATTTTATTATTTATAATTATTTATAGTATATATTAATTATTTTATATTCAGACCAGAATGCTCTTAATATTCAGAGTTAATATAATTTAATATTTTAAAAGTTAATATAATTACTATATTTTATTTAGAATTATATTTATTTATATTTTATTATTTCTATAGTATTTATCTATATATTTTATATTCAGACCAGAATGCTCTTAATATTCAGAGTTAATATAATTTAAGTTAATATGATTATTATGTTTTACTTATAATTATATTAATTTCTCTTTTATTATTAATGTTAGGCTATATTATAATAGATATATATTATATTAGATATGTATATATTAAGTGTTTTACATTCAGACCAGAATGCATTTAATATCCGTCTAATGATCAGCAGGTCAACAGGTAATTACCACAAAATAAACACGCACTCATTAATATCAGCTTTTAGCAAGCATGACTAATTTATATGAGGTGCATAATGCAGTTTCATTTATCTGATCACAGATTGTGGCCCTGCATGAACTCTCACCGTTAGTAAACACCGTTAGTAACATATATAATGAAAATGAGCTCCTGAAGACGCTTACCTTTAATTAAACCCTTAATTCTTTGATAATTGTGCGGATACTGCGCGGTATTTGCTTTATTCTTCGGCTACACGCAGACTGATGACGCATTAACAACAAGCGCAAAGCTTCACCATGGCAACGTCTTAAAGAGACAGCAGCTGTATGTAAGCTGTTACATTGTGCAACCTTATCCATCCGTCCATCTATCATCACACATAATCACATTTACATAACATCATATTACAATAAATACGCTAACCAGATTATTTAGTAGTATTACTGGAATATATAATAAGTATAGTATACTATATACACTATATGTGTTTATATATATAATTTTATTGTTTATTGCATTTATTGTTCTATGTATTAAAATATACAAGTGTGTGTGTATTAAAATCACGCATTTATAATATATATACTCAATACATAATATTATTAGTAGCAGTATTGGAATTATTATATATTTAGTTCTGAGAATCTGAGAAATCTGAGAAATTAAAGGACATTTATACAATCATTACAGTCTTTATGCGCTAATTCATTCAGTCAGTTTGCACAGATATGGGTGAATAATAATGTGTTTTTCATTAAGAATTAAGAGTTGCGAAATAAAGTTAAATATCATATATATTTACATAATCGAGGAGGAAAAATAGGAAAAGGCTGCGTACTGCGCATGCGCGGTGACGCACCCCCGCCGCGTTCTCCTTCAGTCTGTCCTCTCGCGCTGCACAGAAGCTCCGTCGGGGACATCGACACGGCAAACACGGTAAGCGCTTGCCGACTCACACTCAAAGCATGCTGCACTGAAACATTACTCCACATACAAGCGTTCAGTTGCATTTTGCTTTGAAATGAATGAGCGGTGTTGTTATGTTGTTCACACCGGAGCTGTAGTTATTCCGACAGTGCGCGTTCAGGGCCGCAGGGACGTCATGACAGCATAATACTGATGATTATTAAAGCACCGTTACACGCATTTACCGTTTATTCTTAAAATCACGCATATTAATTCTCTTGCAAGTGTATTATGCGTCTAATCTGTGGTTTGGCATACAATATATCAGTGTTTCATCAAGGACACTGATTCTCTCACTCGTGTAACTGATTTGACGGGTTGAATATGAAACTTTGTGTCACTGAAAGTCTCACTGATCTGCTTGGTACAATGTAACGGTGTTTCTCTGCGCGTTACAATGTAACGGTGTTTCTCCGCGCGTTACAATGTAACGGTGTTTCTCCGCGCGTTACAATGTAACGGTGTTTCTCCGCGCGTTACAATGTAACGGTGTTTCTCCGCGCGTTACAATGTAACGGTGTTTCTCCGCGCGTTACAATGTAACGGTGTTTCTCCGCGCGTTACAATGTAACGGTGTTTATCCGCGCGTTACAATGTAACGGTATTTCTCTGCACGTTACAGTGTAACGGTGTTTCTCGGCGCGTTACAGTGTAATGGTATTTCTCTGCGCGTTACAATGTAACGGTGTTTCTCCGCGCGTTACAATGTAACGGTGTTTATCCGCGCGTTACAATGTAACGGTATTTCTCTGCACGTTACAGTGTAACGGTGTTTCTCGGCGCGTTACAGTGTAACGGTGTTTCTCGGCGCGTTACAATGTAACGGTGTTTCTCCGCGCGTTACAATGTAACGGTGTTTATCCGCGCGTTACAATGTATTTATTCTTAAAATCACGCATATTAATTCTCTTGCAAGTGTATTATGCGTCTAATCTGTGGTTTGGCATACAATATATCAGTGTTTCATCAAGGACACTGATTCTCTCACTCGTGTAACTGATTTGACGGGTTGAATATGAAACTTTGTGTCACTGAAAGTCTCACTGATCTGCTTGGTACAATGTAACGGTGTTTCTCTGCGCGTTACAATGTAACGGTGTTTCTCCGCGCGTTACAATGTAACGGTGTTTATCCGCGCGTTACAATGTAACGGTATTTCTCTGCGCGTTACAGTGTAACGGTGTTTCTCGGCGCGTTACAGTGTAACGGTATTTCTCTGCGCGTTACAATGTAACGGTGTTTCTCCGCGCGTTACAATGTAACGGTGTTTCTCCTCGCGTTACAATGTAATGGTGTTTATCCGCGCGTTACAATGTAATGGTATTTCTCTGCGCGTTACAGTGTAACGGTGTTTCTCGGCGCGTTACAGTGTAACGGTATTTCTCTGCGCGTTACAATGTAACGGTGTTTCTCGGCGCGTTACAATGTAACGGTGTTTCTCCGCGCGTTACAATGTAACGGTGTTTATCCGCGCGTTACAATGTAACGGTATTTCTCTGCACGTTACAGTGTAACGGTGTTTCTCGGCGCGTTACAGTGTAACGGTGTTTCTCGGCGCGTTACAATGTAACGGTGTTTCTCCGCGCGTTACAATGTAACGGTGTTTATCCGCGCGTTACAATGTAACGGTATTTCTCTGCACGTTACAGTGTAACGGTGTTTCTCGGCGCGTTACAGTGTAACGGTGTTTCTCGGCGCGTTACAATGTAACGGTGTTTCTCCGCGCGTTACAATGTAACGGTGTTTATCCGCGCGTTACAATGTAACGGTGTTTATCCGCGCGTTACAATGTAACGGTATTTCTCTGCACGTTACAGTGTAACGGTGTTTCTCGGCGCGTTACAGTGTAACGGTGTTTCTCGGCGCGTTACAATGTAACGGTGTTTATCCGCGCGTTACAATGTAACGGTATTTCTCTGCACGTTACAGTGTAACGGTGTTTCTCGGCGCGTTACAGTGTAACGGTGTTTCTCGGCGCGTTACAGTGTAATGGTATTTCTCTGCGCGTTACAATGTAACGGTGTTTCTCTGCGCGTTACAATGTAACGGTGTTTCTCCGCGCATTACAATGTAATGGTGTTTATCTGCTCGTTACAATGTAATGGTATTTCTCTGCACGTTACAGTGTAACGTTGTTTCTTGGCGCGTTACAGTGTAACGGTATTTCTCTGCGCGTTACAATGTAACGGTGTTTCTCGGCGCGTTACAATGTAACGGTGTTTCTCTGCGTGTTACAATGTAACGGTGTTTCTGATCATTATATTGTCAGCGGAGTAACGGACTTTTCCGCCGCCTCTGATGTAACAGTCCGAAATAAACCAATAAACCCGCGCACTGCAGCCAGTACTCTAATATTTGATACTGATAATTGATCTTGAAGGCATCGAGCTGAGCGTTATTCGTTTTCTGGGCGTTGTGCGTGCGTCGTGTCAGTCAAGCGCGATGGTTGTGCAGCCTTGAGCGACTTTCTTTCTTTGTGTGATTTGAGTGGTTTATTACAGATTTATAGGGAAGGGACGATTTTTTAAACAGATTTTTGCGCTTTTCTGCTTCATAGATTATTCATTCTACCAATAAATGGCAACATCTGGTGGGTCTCTAGAGCAAACTACCCATCGACTGTATTACACACAGTGCATTCAGTAAGAAACAGTGTTCACAGATAAAGTAACTTATTTAATGTTTTGCTTGCATAATAATTTTCACAGCCATTCATTCGCGAGTGAGCAGTGCATATCATTTATTATTATTTTATTATATTATTCATAGCATAAATATTCATAATGTTGTCTTTTATTATTGTAGTCTAATGATTTAGGTTATTATTGTGCCAAAAGTCGATATAAAATGATAAAAATAATCAGTTCTGCTCATTGGTTATATGATAAGAAAAATAATTTGTATTTGCATATCGGTCATAACATATAGATAGATATATAGATAACATTAACATATTCTGGGACCTCATGGACCTGCACAAAACAATATTACATTTAATACAACTTAAATACACTATTTAGTCAGAATATGGTTGCATTATAAAGACAGTGAGCTCTTACCACAGATGTTTTGAGATTGGCTTTGAGATTGTGTGTTTTTACCTTGAGCTGCACTCGCTCTAATGGCCATCGTGTCTGAGGATGTTCACTAAAGTGCAGTGATTTGTTCATGATTGATGAGCATCTGGCACCAGACTGAGACTGTGAGGGCTGTGCTTCAGTAAATGGTGATGAATAGTAGGTGGATTTCAAATAGGCTTTTAAAGCTGATAAAATGGTCTGGTCACATGATCTCAACATGGCGACCGCCATGTGATCTAGAATAAAACTTAGATTTTTTAGAAGACTGACAGAGTCATCATCTCATACATGCATCATTTTAAACACATCTGATAAAAGTACAATTAATTTCTTAAGAATGAAGCTATATGTGGATGCATCCTGGTGTCAAAATGTTCAGTGTCGAGGAAAACATTTCCCATTTCGTAACGCCTCACGTCACAGGAGCTGCGGTGTCAGTTGAGTCTATTTTTAACGCGTGTGTCTGGGGATCGGGGGAAGGGGGACACGCTCGGTAAAGATGCTGCATCAGCATCCCGTCACCTGGGATCAAGGGCAGAGGTTGCCATGGCGACCCCTTCAATCTGATCTCACACACCTGGTGATGCTGGTCGACGCCGCAGGCTCCAGACGGTCATTGTGTTATGCAGGTAGTCAGTGTGCAGTGGGTGATGATGTGTGTTTGATTGTGATCTCTGACCCCAGATCATGTCTGAGAAAGGACAGAAGCAGAAAGAGACGCATGTGAAAGGAAGCAGTGAGAGCTGCCATCACTGCAAGCCAAAGACATGCGGTGAGTGATGGACAGAGAGAGAGGATGGGACCAACAACAACCTCAGACAGACAGACAGATAGATAGATAGATAGATAGATCAAGAGAGCGATAGATAGATAGATAGATAGATAGATAGATAGATAGATAGATCGATCAAGAGATAGATAGAGAGATCAAGAGAGAGACAGATGATAGATAGATAGATAGATAGATAGATAGATAGATCAAGAGATAGATATATAGATCAAGAGAGAGACAGATGATAGATAGATAGATAGATAGATAGACAGATAGATCAAGAGACAAAAAGCCTTTGAAACCTGTATAATTCAGTGTAACAGTGGATAATCTTTGTAAAGCTGCTTTTTTGAACATCCTTTTAAAGGGCCCATTAACTGTTGTGGTCTGTAATTAAATTAAATCACCAGTCTTTTTGTTTATTCTCAGAGGCCAGAACACACAATGCAGGAATCTTGACTGCTGTGGCTTCAGGGCACTGTGAGGTGGGCCAAACGCTCAGCCGAGCACAGGTGCTTGAGTGCCGGGATT